CTCTGCTGAACTGCTCTCTGCTGCCACCTTCAGGTCTTCAGTTAGTAAAAAAAATCTCTTCTCTTAAGGTGGAAAGATCACCCAGCTTTTCGGTTTATACACCCCAGGGGCTACCTTTACATCTTCAGCCAAGTAGACCCCAGTGAGCAGTACCCAGTGAGCTAACTATAGAAGACTTAGTCGTTCTTAGACATGTTTTTTGAACCCTTTTTTCCTCCTGCTTTCAATCTAAATATTTACCTGAATTCTTATGATCAAAAATTTCTTTAAACTATTACACTACTGGGTCATCGGGGGCCATCCTCAGTCATCCTGATCTATATGTTGCCACTAGACCCAGACAGCTCCGGAGGAGAAAGTAAGGCTGATGCCTTTGCACAGCCCTGACTCACTTAAATCCAATTCACTTGTAAGTCATGGCATCACCTTCCTGATGCCACAGTCCTCTTTGAGAATGAAGGGCAAACAACAACAATAACAACTGCGTCAGACATCAGGGTCCCCTTCAACTCATTCTAGGGACTCCACTTGGCAAATCTGCAAAGGAGCTGAGTGGGGTGAGAGTGAGAAGATTCTTTTCAACCCCCATAATGTCCTTGGTTTCCATGCAAATCAGCTCAGGAACAAGACCAGAAAGGGCTAGGTGGACCTGGTGAAGGTGGTGACCTTTTTCTTATTATTTCCATTTCCCCTTCCTCCCCACAGCAATCAAAATCACTTCGAAAACTTTGTCTCCTATAGTGCCTAGCATAGTGTGTTGGTATTAAGCATATTAGGCACTCAATAAAAGTTTGTTGAATTGAATCACCATCCTTTATGTTTTAAAATGATGCATTAGGTGGTGATTGTTATTTTTGTGTAGAAACAGCTGAAATGATCACTCTTTCCAGAGTAAAGTGTCAGTAAACACTTTTTTCCAAAGCAGATGGGCAGTTTTTTACATGTATGCTGCTATTCAGATGAATGAATGAAAAAGCATTTATTAAATGCTTGCTATGTGTAAGGCACTATGCTAAGTGCCAGAGATAGAAGTAGAAAAGCTGATACAGTTCTTACTCTCTAAGAGCCCACAATCTAATAGAGGGAGGCAACACGTATAAGAAAATTCAGCTTCCAAGTCAGCCTGAAAGGTTCAGTGGTCCTTGATGACAAGAAGCAGGCTTAAATTTGGTTCTGTACCCACAAGGGACTGGAATATGGAGGAGTGAGCCGGTAAATGTTTACCAGCTGGCTTTCTGGGGAAAAAATGTACTTACATCATACTTTTAAGTTCAACCTTCATTATTAACATTTTCTTCATCATTTTTTAAAGTCGAGACAATCAGCAAAACAATAAATAAAGCCCTTGTTTGTAGCATTTGCCAATTTCCAACCTGTAAATAAATGCTCACATTGAAAATTTAGCAGTTGTCTCTCAGGAGCTGTTTGAACAGGCTCCAGAACACTCCTGAGTATATGTTTTCTTGTTGAATATTTACATAAAATAGTTTTACTAACAACCTTGCTCTACCTGTGACAATAACAGAGCAAAAAGTGCAGTTGACTTGTAGGGTAAGGAAGAAAGCAAGAGGGAACCAGCCCTGGGCCTTGCTGATCTAAGCCAGCATCTCTTTGCTTCCGGTTTCAGTGATTTCACCACTACTTAATAATATCCTATCCCCAACCCCACCCCTTCCACTGCCTGATCACTGAACTCCCAACTTGAGACAAAATTTCTCCTGAATTCTACTGGTCCTGAAGCTGCTTAGCTCCATGGGTTTGGAGATATGTAACCAATCCATAATTCCCTTTCCCCTGTTCTCCTGCCACTGCCACCGTAACTAGATGCCCAATTCTGGCATCTGCTTCCTCTTTCCTTTCTACTCCATTTCTAGACCACAAGAGTATGTTTTCTAAAGTTTATTTATAAGAGAAAAGAAAATACGGTATACAAATTCAAAAATAATATGCCGGAGCAAGATAATTAGAAGTGAAGATATAAATAAAACTCTCCATTCTTGGACTGGGTAGTACTTAGCTTTTATGTTCTTCTCTATAGCTACTGTCCTTGAATCTAGTTTGGCCTTTACGCCCATTGTGATTTTTCACAGTCAGAAGCGTCTTTTTCCTCATGGACTCCATGGGCAGGGAACTCTTCTACCCCCCAAATACCACTACCAACAACATCCTTTAGCCAATTTGGAATTGGTCCTTCTGGATACTCCCTATCAAACTAATTGGTCAAGTCTACAATGCTTGACTCAATTCAGCCAATGAGAAATCCTCTTGATTGTGTGATAGACTTTTGGTACTCTACGCACTTCTGGTTATCTAAATTTATTTTTTTATTTAGTCACTGACTATTTAAATTTCACTTCTTCCTACCAAGAGGAAGACAAAGAAATATACACTGATACCAAATAAGTCACTCCCTCCTAAAGTTTGCAGTAGAAGAGAGAAAAGCTAGAGAATTATCTGACATTCACCCAAAATTTGAAGATAGCAGATTTCAAAGGATTCAAAGGAAGGATAGGGAAGATCTATGGACTAAAACTTCTTTAGGGGAAGTCAGCCCAAGGCGAATAAGAAACTCTCAAAGATGAAATTCTGAAGACATTAAGAGAAGTAATTCTAATAAGGAGAAAAAACATGAGTTGTCTGATGAACAAGAAGTGATGTGGCTGCATAGGCAGCTCCCCAATGAATTTAGATTTTCTGAGGATATGTACAGAAGATGCAAACAAAGTAAGGTAACAGAGAATGAGTAAAAAAATGTGGCGATGTAAGAGAATCATTAAAACTCAGAATGATCTGAAACTTGAAAGCTAAAGACATCAGAAAGGGGACATGTTGTTGTTTTTAAGTTATAGAAGAAAAGAGAAGGCTCAGGGGAGGAAGAGGACCATGGCTTTTGGGTGGATGGGATGATGACAAACAGCAATAGAGAAGGCAGTGCTGTTCAGTTTTTTCTTCAGTTTTCTCTGCTAGGAGAATGACCTTTGGACTAGAGAGGAAAGAACAAGAATGTCTAATAGGGAATTGGTGCTCTGGATGTAAGCAAGGTAGCACCTGACCACCCTTGGTGAATTCAAGTCACCTTGCCTTGATGAACTATATTCTGAGGTACTGAAAGAACTGGTGATTGAAATTGTTGAGCCCCCATTAGTGATGTTGCAATGTCGTGGAGGACAGAGAGAGGCGCTGTAGGACTAGAGAAGAGTACATGTTATGATTTTCTTTTTTTTTTCCAAGCAATTGGGGTTAAGTGACTTGCCCAGGGTCACACAGCTAGTGTTATGTGTCTGAGGCTGGATTTGAACTCAGATCCTCCTGATGCAGGGCCGGTGCTCTATCCACTGCGCCACCTAGCTGCCCCCATGTTATGATTTTCAAAAAAGGTTATGGAATAGTCTGAAAACTAGAGGCCACTGAGTTTGATTTTAAATCCTAATGGAATTATTAAAAGGATGATTAGTGAAAACCTTGAAAAGTTAGCAGTTATCACAAAGAGCAGCCATTACTTTATTTAAGAAAAGGTCATTCTAGACTTAGAGATAGGCAGGATAAGATAATCTCTAATAATCCTTAGAAGACAGCAAGTGTTGTGAAGTCAGGAAATACCTGGGTTCAAATCTTATGTCTGAGGTTTACTCACTTTGTGACCATAGACATGTTAGAGCCAATGTGGCATAGTGTACAGAATGACGGATAGGGAGTCAGGAAAACCTGGTTCAAATCTTACCTCATATACTTACCTACTGGTTGATGCTGACTGAGTCATTTAATTTCTTTGAGCCTCAGTTTCCTCATTTGTCAACTGTATATAATAATATCTCTATCACTGACCTTCTATCATTGTTATGGCCATCAAATGAGATAATTTAAGAATTTAAGTAAGTCTCAGCAATTTTATTCCTTTACCTTTCTAAGCCTTGTTTTCCTCAACTGTAAAATGAGATTTATAGTACCTGTGTTATTTTTATAGTTATTTTGCCACTTTGTAATTGAAATGAAAATAAAAAAAGAATTACAATATGCTACCACACAGGATCGTTGTGTAAAAATGGCTTTGAAAACCTTAATGTACTATAGAAATGGGAGTTAGCAAATTACTAATTATTATTCTACCTCTAACACTGGCATATAATTAAGCTGTTGCTTAATTGGTGATTTCTACAACAAAAGTTCTACTTTGCTCCTTCTCATCATTCTCATACTCATTCTGCAACATCAGCAGATATATGAGAGGAGTAATTCTCCTCAATGCTTAAGTACATGGATACCCCACTAAAGTCAGCCTCTGCTTTGCTTCCTAGTGTCCTGACGTGTCCCCAAACTCTTTCGGTCCTTAGCAGCTCAGTTTTATTGTTAGACCTATTTTTCTAATAATAACAGAACATTGGTAATACAGTATGACCCCTGTGTACATCATTGTATAGTGCATCTCTACTCCTATGACACATACAGAAGGACTAAGGTGTGGGTCTAATTTTTATAGTGCTATTTATTCACATCAACACTGCAAACAAGAGATGGTTTAATTCTGATTAAAAAAAAAAATCAAATTTTGCCACCTAGAGGTCATAGAACAACATTGTGATCTGCGACTGTTTCAGATTCCTGCACAGGCACTGGAACCTCAGATACTGATTCATGAGAAGTCTTAAGTGATTTTATTTTTACTCCCCTGGAACTATAACTATAAAAGATCTAGGAAAGTACCTCTGACTACCATTGCTGGGTCCCTGTGCTATGATGTTGGAAGGGAGGTTATGATTGTTTCTTTGGTGCTTTGGGAGAGACTAAGGGGGAATGTATGGAAAAGGATAATGCTTTATCTCTAACTTGTAAGTTTACTAATTTTCTGGCCAGCAATCAGATAGACAAATAAAAAAAATCACTTATAAACTCTCAACATACTTGGAAAGATAAAAAAAATGGGATTGCTGCTACCTTTTAGTGAAATTTGATGAGTATCTTTAGACAATAAAAAACTAACCCTTCTCTTTTTCCTTTTGAAGGACAAGTTTGAGTTGTACTATCAAAATGGAAAATCTACTTTTCTGGCTGATCTTTTCTACCCCTGCATGGACCATCATCGGTGGCTCTGAAACAGAACAGGATTTTACCTGGCACTTACGAAAAATACCTCGGGTAGTCAGTGAAAGAACTTTGCATCTTTCCAGCCCCAAATTTGAAGCAGATGCCAAATTGGTGCTAAATGGAATATGTGGTATTGAATGCCAGAAGGAACTGCCAGTGCCAAGCCTTTCTGAGTTGGAGGAGTCCCTCTCCTATGAGACTATCTTTGAGAATGGCACTCGAACCTTGACCCAAGTAAATGTCCAGGGACTGATGCTCGAGCCTACTCAGAACACTACAAGAAAAATAACACCCAGGAGAAAGCGACAGGTCTATGGCATTGATAGTCGCTTCAGTATCTTGGACAAGCGATTTGTAACCAATTTCCCTTTCAGCACAGCAGTGAAGCTCTCCACAGGTTGTAGTGGTATTCTCGTCTCCCCTAACCACGTCTTAACAGCAGCTCACTGTATTCATGATGGACGGGACTATGTCAAAGGGGGCAAAAAACTAAGGGTGGGGATGCTCAAGATGAGGTCCAAGAGGAATGGCAAGAAACCCAGAGGTTCTAAGAGGAGTCGACGAGAAGCTGAGTATGTAGATCCACCCCAGGGTACCCAAGAGGAGCTGAATATGAGATCCAAGGGAAGGAGAAGAAAGAAAGAATCAGGAAAGGGTCAGAGAGGTTCTGAGGGTAATCCCTCTTTCCAGTGGACCAGGGTCAAGACAACCCACATTCCCAAAGGCTGGGTTAAAGGAGTAAGTGGAAATGTTGCTCTGGATTATGACTATGCTCTTCTTGAATTGAAACGCCCCCACAAAAAGAAGTATATGGAGTTGGGCATCAGCCCAACCATCAAGAAGATGCCTGGGAGTATGATTCATTTCTCAGGTTTTGACAATGATAGATCTGGGCAACTGGTCTACCGGTTTTGTAGCGTGTCAGATGAATCCAATGACCTCTTCTACCAGTACTGTGACGCGGAACCTGGCTCTACAGGATCTGGCATCTATCTCCGCCTAAAGGACCCAGACAAGAAGAAGTGGAAGCGCAAGATCATTGCTATCTATTCAGGCCACCAGCAGATGGACGTCAATGGAGTCCAGAAGGATTATAATGTTGCTGTACGCATCACTCCTCTCAAGTATGCACAGATTTGCCTGTGGATCCATGGAAATGATGCTGATTGTACTTATGGCTAACTGTGCCCACCCCAAAAAGCCACATTCCCAAAACACAGCAAAAACCAATCTCACGTTACTACAACAGCACCTCATCTCAGGTTATGTTTGACTTTGACATCTATCATCAGCATTTCAGCATTTTGGAAATTATTCCTAAAAGACAATGAGAATATTTTCATAATTTTTTAAAGGAGAATTTTAAGTCTGTGTAGCTACTAAAGTGGAACAAGCACCCCAGTGCTAAAGTTTATACTGTTCTTTAAATTGTGGTCATTTTAAATTGTTTGTGACTAAATGTGTTTCCTTCTGCCTTAAAAAAAATTAGGCAAATTTTGAAGCCTCAAACTGGTACTATTTAATAATAGGTAATTTCTCAATAGACATGTTTTCAGGGTTCTGCTCTAGTTAGTATCTAAGGTAATGGACACTCCATAGAACTTGTGGAACTGTATCTGCAGAAACAGGTAAACCACGACGGACAGTATTTAAAATAGGTCAGCTGAGAAATACTAAGAACCCGATGAGTATAAACACTGTATTAATCTGTATTATTAGGTGCTATTTTTTCTCAAAGTAGAAATTCCGTTACTCTCCCTCCCCAAGAAACAATTATTTTTTTCTGACAAATATTATTAGCTTTCTGTCACATATGCCAGTTCTTCGGCATCTATTCTATTTTTAATATTCTCTGTTTCTATGTAAAAAATCATGTTTTTGAATGAACTGGCCATTCTAATCAGATCATCTCCTTACTGGGAGCATCCATATTAATTCACCCAAGTTCAAGTAACACAACTCAGAGCGGGTATGGTCTTGGGACCCATTTGGTAAGAAAGTTAACCAAGTTAAGGATCTCCTAACTAAGAAGCAAATAGCCCAGGTAAGACTTGTGGGTTTATGAGCCTTAGTTGGCATCTGGAAGATATTGCTATGCTTCCCTCACTCCCCTAACTTTCACCCAATTCATACTTTGCTTAGCATAGAAATATTTTTGTTTTTCCTTCTAAGGAGACCTAGGTATACCTTTATACCATTGCACAAGCTGTATGTTTGAATCCTGAAATGCAGGATTCAGAGGAATCAACTTAAATACAGTTCCAGCTCACATTCTTTTGTACTGTGTGTGAACTTGTGTGAAATAATTATATGTGTTTGCTAATTGGTGCTTTATTGCTGGTGCTCCATCGAGTACAAGAATGCATCATTACGGAGCCAACAACTAAAAATCTTTTCTTGGCCATCTTCTATATGATAATAACAGATCTGAGGGAAATAAACATTTTTGTGGTTAGATATATTCAAACTAGGCAAAAGGAAGTAGGATATAGTGGCTAGGTGGCTGGCCATGTAGTCAGGAAGACCTGAATGCAAGTCTCACCTCAGACACATGCTGGCTGTGTGTCACTGGGTGGGCCATTCAATCTCTCAGTGCCACAGGGAATTTTCTAAGACTGCAAATTAAAGACAAGTGTATTGGTAGAGGGTGTTCTTCATCAGGAGCTCCTCACATCTATGAAATCACAGGCCCTACTTTAAAAAAGGCGGGGGGTAGGTGCTTAAGGTTAAATGTATTGTATTCATGTACATTGGGGCAGCTAGGTGGCATAGTGGATAGAACACTAGGCCTGCAGTGTGAAGATTCATCTTCCTGAGTTCAAATCTGGCCTCAGAACTTACTAGTTATATGACCCTGGACAAGTCACTTAACCCTGTCTGCCTCAGTTTCCTCATCTGTAAAATGAGGACAAGGAAATGGCAAACCCTGCTTTAGTATTTTTGCCAAGAAAACTCCAAATGGGGTCATAAAATGCCTGAACAACAAGATTTATGTATTGCTCTGAGGTCATACAGTCCACCCTTTTCCTTAACAAGATTCAGCTCCACAAGACCCATATCATTTGATGTCAACCTGGAGAGAAGTCTTTCCTTAAGTGCTACTGGGCTTTTCCCTTGGCTTTCTTCTGTTCAATGTTTTTATCAATAATTTTGACAAAAATATAAATCATACAGTCACAGTTATAGAGCTGGAAAGGACTTAGGAAGTCATTTATTATATCCTCATTTTGTAGATGTCTCATCTATAAAACAGAGGCCCAGAGAGTTCAAGGAACTTGTTCAAGGTCACACAAATAGTAAATAGGAGAATCAGGACTTGAATTCAGGACCTCTGATTCCAAATCCATAATTCTTTCCATTCTGCATCCCATGGTGGACTTGTCAAATTTGTGGATGACACAAAGCTAGAAGGAAGAGCTAATGCACTGGGTGACAGAACTGGCAAAAATCTACTAAGATGAAATTTAATAGAGGTGAACATAAAGCTATACATTGGGGTTCAAAATATCAGCGGCATCCGTATAGAAATGGGGTGATGGGAAGGAAACATGGGTCAACAACAGTTCATAGGAAAAAAAAACCCTAGGTTCCTAGTAGACTTCAAGCTCAATACAAGTCAGCAGGGTGACACATCAGCCAGAAAGAAAGTAGGGCAATCTTGGGCTGCATCAATAGATGCATGTGGGGGGTGGGGGGTGGGGGAGGGCTGTAATTTATTGTTGGGATAATTCCATTACCACAGGACAGTCACTTGAACCTGACTATCAGTGAGCTTGTCTATTCAGGGGTTTAGGGTAATATAGCATGGGATTCAGAATAAGGGAATCAATCAGTTGTACCACTATAATCTGCCTTAATCAGACCACATTTAGAATATTTGGTCCATTTCTAGGTGCTCTAATATAGGAAGCACATTTATCAATGTCCTTGATGTTGTCTGTTGACACGTCCAAAGCTTATCAGCTAGACTGTATGAGAACAAAGGTAACCAAGATGGTGCACTCACACTCACATCTTGAAACCATGCTGCCTGAAGTTTGGTTGAAGGAACTAGGAATGTTTAGCTTGGAGAAAAAAAAAAGACTTATAGGAGGCATGCCTGCTGACATTAAAAATATTTTTAGGGGATATCATGTATAAGACAGATTAGACTTATTTTGCTTGAAGGGGTAGAATTAAATGGAGGATAATTTTAGTTTGCTATAAGGAAAAATTTCCTAATAATCAGACCTACCTCAGAATGATATGGAGGCAGCTAGGTGTCACAGTGGATAAAGTGCTGGACTTGTAGTCAGGAAGACCTGAGTTCAAACTTTGCCCCAGACTCTTATGAGCTGTATGACTCTGTGCAATTCAGTTGACCCATCCCAGCCTCAGTTTCATCATCTGTAAAAGGAGGGTAATGATAGCAATCACTTCACAGTTGTTATGAAGATCAAATCAAATAAGACAACACACACAAAGTGCTTGGAAAACCTGCAAGTGCTATACAAATGCTAGTTATTATTGTTGTTGTTTTTGTTGGGACATAGAGAGTCCCTATCACTACAGATCTTCAAATAGAGACTCAGCTCTCCCTGGTTGGGACTTGCAAGTCATGGCATCGTATTTCTGATGTCATGGTCCTCTTTGAGGACAAAGGACAAACCACAATCACAACCACACACAAAGACACAGGATAGAGGAGAATCTTGATGAAGTAGATGACTCCTGAATTTTCGGGTCCCTTGCCACTCTGAGAGCTTGTGATTATAGGAATATCCTTTAGAAATTACTTCCCTTTTTACCAATCAGTTGTACCCACATAGTAAGTTCTAAGCTACAGCTTAATCCTATCTCTACTGAAAATGTTTTGGGAACCTTAGTAACCAAGTCAAAGACTGTACAGCTTGCTGCACTTCTCAAAAGCCTTAGAGCTATTGTGTTAACATAATCAAATGCCTCAAAAATAATTCATGGTAACTTGAATATAGTATTAACCTCAATTTAACACTGAAGCCAGGAATGCTGGTACATACCTGTAATCTTTGCTACTGGGGAGGCTGAGGCTGGTGGATGGTTGAGTTCAGGGGTTCCAAGCTATAATACAGCTAAAGCCGGAGCTAAGACTGACACTAACATGAGGAGCCCATAGGAGCAGAGTGCTACCAGGCTGCCTAACAAGGGGGCAAACCAGCCCAGATCAGAAGAATGGAGCAGATCAAAGCTTCTATATGAATTAGTATTGGAACTGGGCCAGTGAGTGGTGACTGCATTTGAGCCTGGTTGAGATAGGGAGACCCATGGGTTGTGTGTGTGTATTTATATGTATATGTATAATTTATATATATATATATATGTATATGTATACACATATGTAATACAAGATATCCCCAAAATCTTACATTTTAAGGTTAATAGCTTAAAACTACACTAATACTTTTGGGACACCTTATATATAGAGATATAACTTGGAAATTAGTGCTACCAGTTTGCAGTTTGTTGTAATTCTATAGTAAATTGCTTGATTTATCTGTGGTCACTAAAAATCACACTTTAATTTGGAAAAAAAGCATAGTTAAACATTTTGAATGGCTTTTTATTTAATTTGAATCTGTCACCTATTTTAATGAATTTCATTAAAACACCTGAGTTGTATCCTTTTTTGAAACAGACGATTTAGCATTTTGATTTGCATCTTCTTCATGATTAAAAGACCCGTGATTTTACCAGGCAAGAGACTCCCTCCAACAATGTGAATTGGGATGCCCCACATGCCATGGGATCACAGGCTCATAGACTTAACAATCAATCAATCAGTCAGCAAGTATTCATTAAGTGCTTGCTAGTGTCCCAAGAGCTCTGCTAGATGCTGGAGATTCAAAGACAGAAATAAAGCAGTCTTTGCCCTCAAGGAGCTTACAGTCTATAGTATATAGTTTTAGTATGAGAGCATGGACTTAGGGCTAAAGAGACTTCAGAGGCCATCTAGCATAACCCTCTCACTTTACAGATGAGGCAACTGAGGCCCACAGAGGAACGTGACTTGCCCAGTGACCCAGGTAAATGTCACAGGCAAATGCCACAGGCAAGACATGAATTCAGGTACCACCCTGCCTCCTACTATTCAGGGACAGCTTTGTAACATCAGAGGAAAATAAACTCAGGAAATCCCATTCTATAACATTCCCTTCTCCATTTGTGGCCTTCACATTTAAGTTCTTAAATGACATGTAAATACACACATCTGCTTGAGGAACAAAGCAGTTCCCAGCTGAAAGACAAGTCATTTGGAAAATCAACCAGAAATCTAATTCAATTCAATTAACACATATTAACTACCTACTATGTGCCAGGCACAGTGCTATACTAAGAAATCAATCTCAAAGTGTAAATCCAAACAAGTGTTTAAGTATGTAATTCAAACTTGTCCTGCTTTAGTTCTGTTTTTCTTTTTCCAAATCATGCAGGGGAATCCCCTGGTTTAGTAAAGAGGGCACTACTTCTGGAATAAGATGGATGGAAATCCTGGCTCTGCCTTTTTACTGCCCGCTAGATGGTGAGTTCCTCAAGGAACTTTTGCCTTTCTTTGTATCACCAGTGCTTAGCACAGTGCCGGGCACATAGTAGGTGCTTAATAAATACCCTTTGACTGACTAATGGGCTGACCCTAGAAAAGTTACTTCATCTCACTGGGTCTCAGTTTCTTCATCTGTAAAATGAGGGAACTGGACTGGGTAATCTCTGGGGCCTCTTCCAGTGCCTATCCCAAGGCCTGGTACATACATAGTAAGCACTTAGTAAGTGCTAATTGATTGATTGATTCTGGCTCTAAATTCCACAATTCTGTGAACTCTTTTTCTCTCTCTCCCTCCTCCTTGTAGAGATGGTTATGGACACAGTTTTACTATGTTCCCCCTACCCCTCCTCCTTCTGATGTATTTCTTAAGGTCTCATTTTCTCAATTAAGAAAGAATTGATAATTCTTGTATAATAATTAAATAATGCCAGGATTGGGGCTCTTGACACTTCCATGCCCTTATGTACAGAGCTCAATAATGTCTTTAAAATGCTTATTTTCACTTCTAAAATATTATCCAGTTATTAAAACAAGTAAGATAAGAAAAATAGAAATTATATATTTGCACTGCATATGTGTTGTACGATTTTCATTGAAAGCTTTTTGGTTTTTCTATAGAGCCAGAATTGACTCACAGAGACTTTTCATGCTTCTTCATGAATGATAGTGGAATTAATTAGATGCAGTGTGGTATAGTGAATGGAATACTGGACTTCTATTAAAGAAGACATGAGTTCAAATCCCACTTCCGACATTTTCTAGTTATGTAACACATGGACAAGTCATTTAATATCTGAACCTTGTAAGTCTTATAAGAGTTGCCCAATTTTTATAGCTAGGTTATCATCTACCTGGGTGGAGGGAGATCCCACACTGATGAACTCATAGATCCTGGATATATTCATGAAGGAGCTGAGAGACACTATTTGATTTTTATATGTTTCTGTGAAAAAG